AGTTGTATTATTACAGTAATAAAGTATGAAACATGTTGCTGGGCGGTGGTGGTGCATGCCTTTAATCCCAGTGTTTGGGAGGCAGAGTTAGGCGGATCTCTGTGAGTTCAAGGCCAGCCTGGTCTACAAAGTGAGTTCCAGGAAAGGTGCAAAGCTACACAGAAAAACCCTGTCTCAAAAAAACCAAAAAAAAAAAAAAAAGAAACATGCTAACAGAGCATGACGTGGTCTGATACTTCATTTAACTGGCATGGTGACCAAAGAAGGATTTTGCAGAAGAAACCTTTCCAGAGCAGCTCATTTGCACTACTTTGTGGCCCAGATGTTAAAAGTATAACTTCTCTGAAGGACGGAGGCATTGGAAACCTCAGTGTGGACTCTGTGTCTCACTCTGGGGATGCCTTCGGGGCTGTGGAAGTGAGTCAACCTATTTCCTTATTAAATAATTCAGCCATACTTTGCATTCGGGCAAGTTTCTTTTCATGGTTTGTGGAATTTTCTTTCATATGTTTTTTATGTACTCCATATAAAACCAACAGTATCTTTTCTCCTCAGAAAAAAATCTTTATGTCCTTAAAAATTATACTCCATTTTGCTCTCTTAGAAGTTAGGCCACCACCATGCCCTGCGTTGTTTGTGAAATAAGAACAAATCCTATTTGAGTCTATGCACTGTGGACAGACGCTGTGTCTGCATAGCTCATGTCCATCTGAGTAGCCCTACCCACGTAAGTGAGGAAGATGAGTAAGTACCAATCCTCCAAGCAACTTTGCTAAGAGAAACAAGCTTTGAATAGTTTGAAGGCCTTGATTCTATAGACCAGGAAGATGGCCTGCTTGCCATACTTCCCCCCTGTGTTTTTACATTCCAGAGCTCTGCTCTTAACTGTACTTTGAAAACTCCTTTGGAGGAAACCAAATTCGCCTTGTTCCATGGTTGCTTTGAATGTTTTGAGCTTGTAGTTATGGTTGACATGACCTAACTCAAAGCATTTGAAGCCCAATGGCATCAAACCTGGGTAGGTACCCTCAATATTTTCTTGAAGGAGTTTACTTATTTTCTTTTTCATTGTAATTTTTTTTCACATCCAGTGCTTATGATCTGTGTCTGAGATATAGCTTCAAAGAAAAATTGGTAAAATTTATACTGAAGGAGGTAAGGAGAGGAAAAAAGAAAAAGATCAGGAGAAAAGAAAAATCATAATTGAAGTAGAGGAGAAGAATAAAATTCAACAAGAAAAGGGGCTGGGGAGAAGGCCTAGTGGAGTAAGGGCTTGCTGTACAAGCCTGGAGACCTGAGTTCGATACCTGCAATCCATGTAAAGATGGGAGGAAAGAACCGAACCTGCATAGCTGTCCTCTGACCTCCACATGCCAGCTATGATCACGCACATTCATTAAACACACACACACACACACACACACACACACACACACACACACACACACTCATGCACACACACACACACACTAAAAAAGAAAAAAAAACACAGACCATAGATTTACCAGACTAAAATTGATCCAGGAAACAATTTTAGGTACTGGCCAAGGGCATTGATGGACAAGCAAAGCCCTATATTTGCATTCTTAAGGACACTGAGATGTCCATCTAGACTCCTGCTCCTACATGCCACCATGTAAAAAAGTCTAGTCTCTCTATGTAATAGTGTGGTGAGTTTTTGAAAAAAATTGAAAATAGAATTGTCATGTGATCCTCCAAATTTCATTTTGGGATATATATTCACAATATTTGAAAGCAACATTAGAGTGGATCAATGTTCAAAGAAGTGCTATTCACAATAGCGAAGAGATAAACACAAGCTAAATCCATCAAGAAATGAGCAAGTAAATAAAATATGGTATGTACACATGCTGGACTACTATTCAGTCTTACAAAAGAAGGAAAGTTTAAAGCATGTTACAGCATGGATGAATATTAAGTGGAATAAACAACTACCAAATGGTAAGTGCCATAGGAGTCCACTTACGTGAAATACTTAGACTAGTCAAATTCGTAAGACAGAAAGTAGAAGGGATTGGAGGAGAGGAACGACAGCCAGCATTCACTGGGCACAGTTTCTGTTTTGCAAGATGAAAAGTTTTGGAGCTGTATGGTGATGAGGACCCATGACACTGAACATAGTGCTACAGCCTTATGTATTTGATATTGCTTGGCTCATTTTCTGCTATGAATATTGTACTATAATCCTAGGAAACTGCTTAAAATCAGGCACATTAAATGGACTTAATAGAATAGATAGACAGATAGACAGATGAATAGATAGATAGATAGACTTATAGACAGATAGATACAGATCTAGATAAATAAATATATGTGAGTATGTAATAATAATTAAAGGAGCCAGTAAATTACCTTATTTAGGCTGTGTTAAGCAGGGCAGAAAGCAAGTACTCAGCTTACTACCAACAAGCTAGAGGTTTGTTGTCAAAGCCCAGTGCAAAGCCCTAGTGCCCTGGCTCCTGGCCCTGTGCGAACATTTTGCCTTTAAGACAAATTCCTCATGTAAGCCTGAGAGAGGAAAAAGAGTAGACTCAGGGAAGAGCTTGAGCACATTGCTGTCCCCAGAAAAAGAACTGTGCCTGACCATGGTGGTGGTTCCTTGGTTCATGGCTGAGCATCTGCACTTGCTGTTTGCCTGTTAACAGTTCTAGTTCTACACGTGAGAAAAGATCAATCCACATGGCTATGAAGGGCCTCCCTTAACCACCTGGCCACCTCCTCCAGCTTTCTTGGTCCACCCAAGAAATGACTGTTGACTGTTCTGCTGGCCCTCTCCTGCCACCATCCTTCTTGGAGTGGCTGCCAATTCCAGAGAGAATTTGAGAGGAACTTGCACATAGTGGGGTGATGGATGTCTCTGATCCAGGCCTAACCCCTACCTCATTTTCTATGTACCAAAGATTTACTGTTATATAAGGCGGTAAGGAAAGCTCTCCAGGAAGGGCACAATCAATTAGGCTTTGTGGTTCTTCTCACAAGTGTTCACTCTTGCTCTTTTAAGGCAAAAATGGAACAGAAGATGAAGGAACAAAGATGTTAGTGTTCTGATAAAACTCAATTGACAGGCACAAGACTTTGAACTTCATATAATTGTTACACATCTCAAAATATTAGGTTAAAATTTTTCTTCATCACTTAAAAGTACAACATCATTCTTAGCTTGCAGACTATACAAAAAACAGGTCAGATCATGCCAAGGAACTTTTATTGGCTGATCTCTGGTGCAATCTACATAGCTTTAAAAAATTGCCTCCTTCATTCTTAAGAAGGAAGGAAGGAGCCGGGCGGTGGTGGCGCACGCCTTTAATCCCAGCACTCGGGAGGCAGAGCCAGGTAGATCTCTGTGAGTTCGAGGCCAGCCTGGGCTACCAAGTGAGTTCCAGAAAAAGGCGCAAAGCTACACAGAGAAACCCTGTCTCGAAAACCAAAAAAAAAAAAAAAAAAAAAAAAAAAAAAGAAGGAAGGAAGGGCATTCATGGACAATTTGTTCAAAAAAATCTACTACAACATGGGAATCGAGTCCGTTGCTTCTGTGAGCAGGAGGGCTGTGTATAAAAGCTCCATGCTACTCATAAGCTATGTGATCTTGAACTAGAGTCTGCATCTTTTTATCTATGCATCAGCTGACTCCAACTGCAGCTACCTAATAGTTGTTGCATGGATTAAAGGAGTTAATACTGGTGAGTGGGATGGTTATTGTCTGGGGCTTTATACTGTTAGCTGTTGTTGGGGCCTTCACACAATTATCACATTGGGTTGTGCCAAACTTGATAAAGTCATTACAGCTTCTTTAGATGTCTTGTTTGTTAGGGATTGAAAAATACTTCAACGTACTTTGAAGTGAAATAGATTGGAAAGGACTCAGAAGTAAGAAAGTCAATCTGGCTTCCCCATTCCCCATATAAGAATTAGACCTAAAAGGAAGCTCTCTGATGGAGCCTTCATGAGATTGCCTAGGGATGGGCTTTGTGCTCTGAGAACCCAAGGAAAAAAAAGAAGGTAATACAAAGAAGCCAAGAGCAACTGGATCCTTCCTGAGTCCCGTCCCACTTCCAGCTCATTCCATATATATAGTCCAATCCCTTCCTTCCTCTTCAATTGACATTTATTTACTTATATATTTGTTTATTTGGGGGTATGTGTTTGTGTGGTGTGTGTGTGTGTGTGTGTGTGTGTGTGTGTGTGTGTGTGTGTGTGTACCTGAGTACATGCAAGCCACGGCATGTGTGTGGTGGTCAGAATACAACATGAGGGAGTCAGTGTCTTCTTCCACCATATAGGTTCCTAAGATTGAACTCAGGCTTAATGACTAGAGTCTATACCAGCTGAGCCATCCTTTTCTCTGTAACATCTTTTCTACCATCAGATGACATGAACACAGTTTTCCCTGGTCTACAGATCTTCATTTTTGAGCCTTCTGTGTTATGTAAAACTTGGTTGAATAGACCTTCTGTCTTGCCCCTTTATCTGTCTTTGGTCAACCTTGGCCTTCACAAGAGGGAAGGAGACGTACTACACTCTCTTCTCTTCCTTTGCTGCCCAAGGTGAGCAGCAGGCTGGCTCGAGGCTGAGAACTGTCAGCTGTGCTCCAAGTTCCTTCCTCCTTGTCACACTGTGCTGCCTCGCAGCCCCTTGTGAGAAATGAGGAACTTCCTACAGCTTCTGATAGTGTCAGTCACACATTCGCTGACAAAACACCTGCCTGGTTTTCCTCTCCTTTCTCTGCAAGCATTCTCTTCCTGCACTTGTCTCTAAAATGTTGGCATTTTCCATGATGGAGGTCAAGGACATATTTTTTTTTTTTATCTCCCGCATTCCTCTGCTTTCTCACTCACAGCTATAGCTCTCATTGTGAGCAATCACCTCACACAGTGAAGCCCCTCAGCTGTTTCTCTGATCCTTGTAACTTATCCACAAGACAGGACAGAAGGATGGAAAATGAAGGAGGGGGAATATAGGGAGACAAAGAAACCCCTTACCCTGGAGCCTGGCTGAAATTTCATCTGAAAGTTGAGAATTTTGATAGAGTTAACAAAATTCACTGTGAAGATAACCTATAATGAAATAAAAAGGTAATTGTTATAGAGCTGTATCAAATAAGAAAATTAAACATAGCAGCCATGTTTATAGCCAAAGCACACATGACTTGTGAGTATCCTTAGCCCAGCTGTAAGCCTGTGATTTTCTGAGACTCTCACAAATTTCAAACCGTGTCTAGAGTCAAGGCTTGTCTTCATTTCATTGCAGCTTACATGCTGGAAGGATTCCTTGGACCCTTTGACCCTCTGTGTTTTCACCTTATCAGCCCTTTCTCTGATCCAAGGCTCTGCAGAAACTACACTCCAATCTCACTTACTAAAGAACAAGATGATCCCTAGAAACCCTTTGAACAATGAAAACTGGTGATGCCACCAAAACTGTCCAAACAGCCATGTTAAGTCATTCAAAGGTGACCTGCTTCTATGTTGAGCACTGTCTTTTACTTAAGCAACCTCCCCTCCACGAATGCCTGTGCTTAGATCTGCTAACGCCTTCTCTTGGGGTTGGCAACATAGATTAGGAGATTGCTCAGTCAGTAATGTAATTACCACCTATAAAAATATTAAATGTTAGTCTTTTCTACCAAACACTAAAACTTGTATTTTTCTTTGTGGGTGCAGTGCACTTTATGGATGGTATTCAAGAGAGTAGGGCTCCCTAAGCTCCTCCCCTTCTTCTGGGGGTCTGGGATGAAAACTGTGAGGCAGGATGCTCAGTGTTGAGGGTTGAGTGGGGACAGGAACTCCTCAGCAGCTGAGGGCCTCTCATTGCTCTAGTATTCTTGTTGGGGTGCATGGTCCAGGGCTCCTTACTCCTTGGAGGCCATGTAGGCCACGAAGTCCACCACCCTGTTGCTGTAGCCACATTCATGGTCATACCAGGAAGTGAGCTTTACAGAGTCATCACTGAGAGTAATGCCAGCCCCAGCATCAAAGGTGGAAGAGTGGGAGTCACTGTTAAAGTCGGAGGAGACAATCTGGTCCTCAGTGTGGCCCAGGATGCCCTTTAGTGGGCCCTCAGATGCCTGCTTCACCACCCTCTTAATGTCATCATATTGTCAGCTTTCTCCAGGTGGCACAAAAGATCCAAGATGGACGCACTGTGGGGAGGAACACAGAAGGCCATGTCAGTGAGCTTCCAGTTCAACTCTGGGATGACCTTGTCCACAGCCTTTGTAGAACCAGTGGATGCAGGGATGATGTTCTGGGCAGCCCCGCAGCCATCACACCACAGCTTCCCAGAGGGGCCATCCACAATCTTCTTGGTGGCAGTGATGGCATGGACTGTGGTCATGAGTCCTTCACAATGACAAAGTTGTCGTGGATGACCTTGGCCAGGGGGGCTAAGCAGTTGATGGTGCAGGAAGCACTGCTGACAATCTTGTGAGTTTTCATACTTCTCACGGGTCCACAGCCATCACAAACATGGGGGCTTCAGCAGAAGGGGCAGAGATGATGACCCCTTTGGCCCCATCCTTCAAGTGGGCCCCAGCCTTCTCCATGATGATGAAGACACCAGTAGACTCCACAACATACTTGGCACCAGCATCATTCCATTTGATGTTTGTGGGATCTTGCTCCTGGAAGATGGGACGGCCTTCCTGTTGATAACAACTTCTCTCTTCTCATCCTTGACTGTGCCATTGAACTTGTCAAGGGAAGAGTCATACTGGAACATGTAGACCATGTAGTTGAGGTCAATAAAGGCAAAAATGTTCACTTGCCAGACATGAAGGAAGTTCTGGTAACCAGATGCCCAACATGGCCAAATCTGTTCACTCCAACCTTCACTATTGTGTCTCAGGGATGAGGTTGGCATTGCATGAGAAGATACCACTTTCCTTGGAATTGGGAGGATCTGGGAGCCAAAACTTGTATTTATTGCAAGGAATTCAGATCTTTTTATTGGCTCTATCTTCTCAGACTTTTTATGCAAATGGTTTAAACCCCACTACCACCTGCATGCAGCATTCTTGAAACTTAAGTGACTAAAGTGGCCTGGCTGACTCCTTCCAGCTTTCCTTCATTTCCTTTGTGCCAATTCTTTTAAAACTAGCCAATCTTGAAAGATTGTGAGGTCAAACAGACCCCAGCCAATGGGGGAAAGACACAGTCACCACCTATGCTAACATTCACTATCCTGTGTGCCTGTTCTTCCTAGTGCTCTTTTATGTCCAGACTAATGTCCTGCCATGCTAAGATGCTTTCATTTGTTTGGGTGTTCCATTGTGGGACATTGATAGTATGCCTGACACACACAAGCATGAATACCAAGTATGATTCCTAGCAAGCAATCAAACAGATAGTTATACAAACAGGTGAGAATACACATGCACACAAAGAGGGGGGGGGTGAGTAGCTAGGCATAGGCATAGAAACACATGCTGGTAGATGCCTGGTGAGCATTGGCCATGCAGCCAAGCAAAATCAGGTGAGTCCAGGTCCTGGTAAAGATTCCATCTCAACAAAGTAGATTATTTTGAGAAATAACACATAAGGTTCACCTCTAGCCTCCACCCTCCCACACACATACCTACTCCCCCCCACACACACCTTCCTTTAATAAACTCCAACTTTGCTTCATACTGATTTGTCTTAAAATTCTTTTCTTTGGTGAAGCTAGGAACTCCAGCTTCACTAAAGGAAGAAGTCTCTAAAATAACTCCTGAGGCTGCAGCACACAGCAGCCTTGGACTGTATCTCTTGCTTCCCCTGGCCCTGATACTCACAGGTGCACCCCAATAGGTATTGCATTACTGAATGTTTAGAAGACAGCACGATGGATGAATTTCTACATCAGGCTGATGCAGCTGCATGTTGTGGAGCTGCCACTCATTGCCCATGGGATGCTGGGAGTATGATGTAATTGCCTTGACTCTTTGCCTACAAATCAGGAAAATGGAGTACCTTAGTGCTTCCACCTAGACACTTAGAGGCAGGTCTTTTGTGTGTTTGTTTTGTGTTTTTGTTTTTGTTTTAAATCATTGACTTCTCATTTTTGGTCAACAGGTAACTAAAAGTAGTAGGAAGTAAGCCTTTCTAGTCTTCTTTATTTGGGAAGGTACAGACTTAAGTCATTGTCCTTAACCTTTCCCATTGAGCCTCCTTAGACTCCCAGACAGTAGAACTTTGATAGATAGAACATAACCTTGACACCAAATTATGGCAATCATCTATGAGGGCAAGGCAGCCTCCTGGCAGAAGTGACCATTTCTTGAGAATCACTTTGTCCCCTCAAGTAGTGAGAACTTCTGGGGATCACCTTGCTGGACCTGCACTGAGGTGATGGTCAACAAAAACCTCACCTAGACCAGAACTTCTTAATCAATAGTGCACACCTTGTGTCCCTGTCCCAATTCTTCTTCTATTTAAGACCAAAGCTCCTGTCACTGCTCTGAAAATGGACTTGTGGTCACTGGACTCCTCCATCTGTTACACTTCTCAGTGTGGCCACATTGACTAAATCTCTTCCCTTCACTGTATACCCCCACTCCTCCTCCATCATTGATATATTAGGAACAAAGGACCTAACCTGTTGAAGCTGCGGGAATCCAGAACTCAGTTGTTGTCCTATGAACAGATGGTAGGACTGTGATAAAAAAACAACATGAACTGATAGGTGTAGTGGAAATAATAGGCTTCTTCATTCATTTGTTCACTCGTGTGTGCAACAGATTCCCACCGAGCACTTCTCTGTCCCGTGAAGTACATGCCAGGCAGCGTGTCTACTGAGGAGAAAGCCCTCCATCCTTCCACCCTCCTGTTCTGCTCACCTGCTCTTCCTCCACATTTGCTTTTCCCTATCCTCACAGTCTTCCAGGTCCTGTCCATAGTTCTCAGTAATACCAACTTCTCTACTTCCCTACATTCCAAACACCAACTCTTACTTGAACTTGAATTTTCCCATCCTGGGATGGAGCCCACATCATCTCTGTCTTAGTTACTTTGTTTTTTTCGAGACAGGTTTCTCTGTGTAGCTTTGGAGCCTGTCTCGGAACTCACTCTGTAGCCCAGGCTGGCCTCAAACTCACAGAGATCTGCCTGGCTCTGCCTCCCCAGTGCGGGGATTAAAGGCATGTGCCAACACTGCCTGGCTCTTAGTTACATTTTTGTTGCTGTGATAAAAAATACCCTTATAAAAGCAACTTAATGGGGGAAAGAACTGGTCCAAAGGTGCAATCCATCTGGCAGGGAAGCCAAAGTAGCAGGAGCTTGAAACAGCTGATGATATTGTATCTGAAATCAAGAAGCAGTAGGCCAGGATGCCAGTACTCAGTTTCTCTCTCTCTCTCTCTCTCTCTCTCTCTCTCTCTCTCTCTCTCTCTAATGAAGCCCAGTGTGAGAGCCCATGGAAGGGTGTCTCCTTCTTTGGAGTGAAGCTTTTCACTTCAATTAAACAGATCAAGATAACCCCTCACTAGCATACCTACAGGCTGAGCTAATCTAAATAATCCCTCCTGAATGTACCTGGAGGCTTGTCTCCTAGGTGATACCAGATTCTGTGGAGATGACAATCCACAGTAACCACAGCAACCTCAAACTGTATTCTACTTCCAAGCCACTTAACAGGTTTCGATTCTTCAGAAAGGAACATCCTGGAAGGTTTGTGCACTGAGAAGGAAGAGATCAAAGCACAGCTTCCAGAGTTTTAGTATGTGCTCTCAGGAGTCCAGTCACAGTGGGAAGTAGCCTTGGTCAAGTTACAAGTGGAGAATTTTAAGAATTTAAATACAAATGGATAAAGACTTAAAATAAGGTGATGGCATTAGTCATGAGAAGTAGAAAAAAGAGCCTGTGAGAAGCGTTTTGAAGGAGGCTGTGTAGGAATAAAGTAGGCCTGGGATTTGAGGATAGTGCCACAAGTCATCATCTCCATAACCAGGAGACTGAGGCTACTGTTTATGGCTGTACTGCTCAAGTATCTTTTAAATTTTATTATTATTGCATGTACATGTCTGCAACCAACTGAGTCTAATTGCTTGTATGTGTATGTTTGTAGGACTAACCACAAGGTG